CTCGAGGGATGGCGAGTCTGGGAGGCCTCCAGGCGAGGCGCGGCGGCCTTCTGACGATGTCGGGCGGGGGGGGGCCTCTCGAGAGCCCGACGGGGCCTTCTTCGCAGAGGAGCCTCGGGGTCGGGGGCTTCGGAGGCCGCACTCTCTGCGTTCTCGATGGGCCGCGCTCGCGCAGCTGAGCGCGAGGCGCAGGAAGGCCAGGGATACGGAGCGGAACGTGGTGGTGGGGAAGAAGAAGAAGAAGAAGAAGAAGAAGAAGAAGAAGATTATGTCTCGCTGAACAGCCAAGATTCAGACGTAGAAATGCACAAGCAAGCAAGGAAGCAGACACGGCCCTTTTTGAGAAGAGGTGAGAAATAACGAAAGGGTCGAGGCAAAAACAACGAATTATGCTAACGGAGCTCCCCACATAAAGATATTAAAGGTTTCGTGGGACCCATGGGGTACGACAACATCAACACGACGGGTGGGAGGGGCACGAAACCATGTAAACAACATGGGTGTCCGAGACCCTCCTCACTCAGGCGGGGCCTCCCTGGAGAGGTGGAAGGGGCACGAAACCATGTAAATAGTAAGGTTTTCCGATACCCTCCTCGCTCAGGCGGGGCCTCCCTGGAGAGGTGGGAAGGGCACGAAACCATGTAAATACTATAGGTTTCCGATACCCTCCTCGCTCGGGCGGGGCTTCCCTGGAGGGGTGGAAGGGACACGAAACCATGTAAATAGTATGGGTTTCCGATACCCTCCTCGCTCAGGCGGGGCCTCCCTGGAAGGGGGTGATCTGGGAGGCTGAAATGGTAGGCATGGTATTGATATGGGAGGCGGGAGGCGGGAGGGAGAAGGAGAGGATGTTCTTGGAAAATTATGCTAACGGAGTTCCCCACATAAAGAGATTAACGGTTTCGTGGGACCCATTTTCTTGATGCCCTCCTCGCGACGCAGGAGGGGTGGGAGGGGCACGAAACCATGTAAATAGTATGGTATTCCGATACCCTCCTCGCTCAGGCGGGGCCTCCCTGGAGGGGTGGGAGGGGCACGAAACCATGTAAATAGTATGGTATTCCGATACCCTCCTCGCTCAGGCGGGGCCTCCCTGGAGGGGTGGGAGGGGCACGAAACCATGTAAATAGTATGGTATTCCGATACCCTCCTCGCTCAGGCGGGGCCTCCCTGGAGGGGTGGGAGGGGCACGAAACCATGTAAATAGTATGGTATTCCGATACCCTCCTCGCTCAGGCGGGGCCTCCCTGGAGGGGTGGGAGGGGCACGAAACCATGTAAATAGTATGGTATTCCGATACCCTCCTCGCTCAGGCGGGGCCTCCCTGGTGGGAGGGGCACGAAACCATGTAAATAGTATGTAAATAGTATTCCGATACCCTCCTCGCTCAGGCGGGGCCTCCCTGGAGGGGTGGGAGGGGCACGAAACCATGTAAATAGTATGGTATTCCGATACCCTCCTCGCTCAGGCGGGGCCTCCCTGGAGGGGTGGGAGGGGCACGAAACCATGTAAATAGTATGGTATTCCGATACCCTCCTCGCTCAGGCGGGGCCTCCCTGGAGGGGTGGGAGGGGCACGAAACCATGTAAATAGTATGGTATTCCGATACCCTCCTCGCTCAGGCGGGGCCTCCCTGGAGGGGTGGGAGGGGCACGAAACCATGTAAATAGTATGGTATTCCGATACCCTCCTCGCTCAGGCGGGGCCTCCCTGGAGGGGTGGGAGGGGCACGAAACCATGTAAATAGTATGGTATTCCGATACCCTCCTCGCTCAGGCGGGGCCTCCCTGGAGGGGTGGGAGGGGCACGAAACCATGTAAATAGTATGGTATTCCGATACCCTCCTCGCTCAGGCGGGGCCTCCCTGGAGGGGTGGGAGGGGCACGAAACCATGTAAATAGTATGGTATTCCGATACCCTCCTCGCTCAGGCGGGGCCTCCCTGGAGGGGTGGGAGGGGCACGAAACCATGTAAATAGTATGGTATTCCGATACCCTCCTCGCTCAGGCGGGGCCTCCCTGGAGGGGTGGGAGGGGCACGAAACCATGTAAATAGTATGGTATTCCGATACCCTCCTCGCTCAGGCGGGGCCTCCCTGGAGGGGTATGGTGTGGTATGGTATGGTATGGTATGGTATGGTATGTGTGGTAGGAACTATGGTATGGTATGGTGTGTGTGGTAGGAATAATATTGTGCTGTATGGAAGATGGAGCGGGAGGTGGGTGGGAAGGAGAGGGTGTTCTGGGAAAACAACAACCCCACTCAGGATGTGGGGAACAAGAACCCCATTCAGGATGTGGGGAAATAGTATGGTTTTCGGATACCCTCCTCGCTCAGGCGGGGCCTCCCTGCAGGGGTGGGAGGGGCACGACACCATGTAAATAGTATGGTTTTCGGATACCCTCCTCGCTCAGGCGGGGCCTCCCTGGAGGGGTGGGAGGGGCACGAAACCATGTAAATAGTATGGTATTCCGATACCCTCCTCGCTCAGGTGGGGCCTCCCTGGAAGTGTGGGAGGGGCACGAAACCATGTAAATAGTATGGTTTTCGGATACCCTCCTCGCTCAGGCGGGGCCTCCCTGGAAGGGTGGGAGGGGCACGAAACCATGTAAATCCCACCAGCCCTTTAGGGCGTAGGTGGTCTAGGGAGTTTCCTCTGCCAACCCCCTTCTTCCCCTTCGGGAGGGGTTTACCCCTCCCCTTACCCCTCCCCACTGACCTGGACGGGGCCGGTCGCGAGGTGTCAGAGCGTCCAAGATGGCCCAAGACAGCTCCAAGAGCGAACATGCGAGAAAACACAAAACATGGATTTTACTTAGGTTTTGGAAGGATTTTGGCATTTTGGGGCGGCCCAAGAGGCGACTCGAGGCACTCTGGAGGGGCGGGGCTAATAAGCAACCCCCCCTTCTTTGATAGATCTCCTCCAAGATGGCCCAAAGAGCGACCCGAAGGCTCCCAAGAGCGCCCCAAGAGCGCCTCAAGAGGGCCCCAAGAGACCCCAAGAGGCCCCCAAGAAGCCTCCAAGACGTTGCCAAGAGACCCCCAAGAGGCCCCAAGAGAGTCCAAGATGACCCAGGACGGCTCCAAGAGCGCAAAGGCGAGAAAGCAACAAACATTGATTTTACCTAGGTTTTGGAAGGATTTTGGCCTCTTGGGGGGCCCAAGAGGCGACTCGAGGCACTCTAGAGGGGCAGCGCTAATTGGGGAACCCCCCTTCTCTGATCGATCTCCTGCAAGATGGCCCCAAGAGCGCCCCGAAGGCTCCCAAGAGCGCCCCAAGAGCGCCCCGAGAGCGCCCCAAGAGGCCCCAAGAGGCGCCCAAGAGGCCTCCAAAAGGCTCCCAAGAGACCCCCAAGAGGCCCAAGAGGCTCCCAAGACGGGTCCAAGAGCGAAAAGGCGAGAAAACAAAAAACATTGATTTTACCTAGGTTTTGGAAGGATTTTGGCCTCTTGGGGGGGCCCAAGAGGCGACTCGAGGCACTCTAGAGGAGCAGCGCTAATTGGGGACCCCCCCTTCTTTGATAGATCTCCTCCAAGATGGCCCCAAGAGCGCCTCGAAGGCTCCCAAGAGCGCCCCAAGAGCGCCCCAAGAGGGCCCCAAGAGGCCCCAAGAGGCCCCCAAGAGGCCTCCAAGAGGCCCCCAAGAGACCCCCAAGAGGCCACAAGAGGCTCCCCGAGATACGCAAGAGGCCCCCGGGACCGCCAAGAGGCCCCAAGGACGGCCCAAGAGGCCCCCAAGCTCGCAATTGTCCTCCTCCTCCTCCTCCTCCTCTTTCTCTTCCTCCTCCCTCCTCCCCCTCCTCCTCCTCCTCCTCCTCCTCCTCCTCCTCCTTCTCCTTCTCCTTTTCCTCCTTCTCGTCCTCCTCGTCCTCGCAGTCCTCCATCTCCTCCTCCTTTTATTTCTCCTCCTCCTCCTCCTGCTCCTCCTCCTGCTCCTCCTCTTCCTCCTCCTACTCCGACGACGACGGCTCCTCCTACATCCTCCCCCTCTTGGGGTATATGGCGGCTCACCCCGCCCTTTGTTCTTCTGCATGCTCCCCCGCTTCCCTCATAACCTCCACTCCCCTGGGACTCATTTCTGGACGGGCTGGTGGGGATACGCGAAGCGTCTAGAATAGTATGGTTTTCCGATACCCTCCTCGCTCAGGCGTGGCCTCCCTGGAGGGGTGGGAAGGGGCACGAAACCATGTAAATAGTATGGTTTTCGGATACCCTCCTCGCTCAGGCGGGGCCTCCCTGGAGGGGTGGGAGGGGCACGAAACCATGTAAATAGTATGGTATTCCGATACCCTCCTCGCTCAGGCGGGGCCTCCCTGGAGAGGTGGGAAGGGCACGAAACCATGTAAATAGTATAGGTTTCGGATACCCTCCTCGCTCAGGCGGGGCCTCCCTGGAGAGGTGGGAGGGGCACGACACCATGTAAATAGTATGGTTTTCGGATACCCTCCTCGCTCAAGCGGAGCCTCCGTGGAGGTGTGGGAGGGGCACGAAACCATGTAAATATTATGGTTTTCGGATACCCTCCTCGCTCAGGCTGGGCCTCCCTGCAGGGGTGGGAGGGGCACGAAACCATGTAAATAGTATGGTTTTCCGATACGCTCCTCGCTCAGGCGGGGCCTCCCTGGAGGGGTGGGAGGGGCACGAAACCATGTAAATAGTATGGTTTTCCGATACCCTCCTCGCTCAGGCGGGGCCTCCCTGGAGGGGTGGGAGGGGCACGAAACCATGTAAGTAGTATGGTTTTCGGTATGGAGTGGTATGGAATGGTATGGTAGGTATGGTATGGTACGGTATGGTATGATATGGTATGGTATGGTACTGGAGGTATGGTATGGTATGGTACGGTGTGGCATTGGTGTGATATGGTATGGTATGCTATGGTACGCCATGGTATGGTATGGTACGGTATGGTACGTATGGTGTGGTATGGTATGGTATGGTATGGTATGGTATGGTATGGTATGGTATGGTATGGTATGTGTGGTAGGAGCTATGGTATGGTATGGTGTGTGTGGTAGGAATAATATTGTGCTGTATGGAAGATGGAGCGGGAGGTGGGTGGGAAGGAGAGGGTGTTCTGGGAAAACAAGAGCCCCACTCAGGATGTGGGGAATAAGATAACGATCAGACATACATGTAAGCACCACAAGATCAAAACAGAAAACAAACAAACAAAAAAAAAAAAAAAAAAACGCCGCGAGCAGGAGCCCCTTGCCGAGCAGATCTTCGGGCGCAAGCGCTTGTGCCACATCGAACAGGGCGTAGACAGGCTGCAGCGGGCCTCGCGGGAGCAGCAGGACGCCGTGTCGAACCTGGAGGCCGGCCTACAGGAGAGGATCTCGAAGGCGGACTTGCGCCGGGAGATAAGCCTCGCCTTCCAGGATCGCCGTGGAGGGAGCGGGTCCTGAGGGAAGCGGGTCCTGAGGCTTTCCGCCGTTTTCTGCTTCCCAGGGCCAGAAGACGAATCAGGGGATCAAGAACTGGTCTTGGGGGGAGGCCTCAGAGTCCAGGACCCGTGTCCATCGGGACCCTTGTCTTTCATGCTGACAGGAGCTCGACAGGCGCGTCGAGGACGCCATCCTGGACTCTGGCCGGAAGTGCCTCGCCCTTTTCTCCAGGAAGGACGACACGTTGCAGCTGTCCGAGCGGGTGGACAAGAAGGTGAGCTGGGCCGAGCACAACGCGGTGCTCAAGAGGCTCTCCGACCTCCGGCTGTACGTGGAGACCATGGCGAACGAGACCTTCGTCGGCCACAGGGAGGCGCTCAACGCCGAGTTCGCGAAGAAGGCAGACGCCGAGATGGTCCGGGAGGCGCTCGCCGCGAAGGCCGGCTGCGACGAGGTGCGCGGCCTCACCGAGCGCGTTGAGAGGCTCGAGGCCGCCGCTCGGGAGGCGGGGGCGCAGCAGGCCGCCGCGATCGAGGCGGGCTGCGCGCAGCTGGAGGCCCAGATCCGTGGCCAGCTCGAGAAGCAGCAGGCCGCCCTGGCGGAGAGCGAGGCCGCCATCGCTGCGTTGCGGTCCGAGGTGGCGCAGCAGGCGCGCCGCCTGGCGGCAGCGGAGGCAGAGACGAGACAGTCCTCCGAAGCTTCCAATAAGCTGAAGAGAGCCCTGCAGGCGCTCCAAGACCAGTACGACGAGGCCGTGATGCCCGCGCTCAAAACGATGAAGGAGAAGCTGAGCAAGATGGATTCGGTGGCCCTGAAGACGACGGACGACCTGATGAGGCTCACCGCGGGCAGCAAGTCATTCCAGGAGGTCTCCCAGAAGAGCGCCGAAGAGCTCTCGCGACAGGGCACGGCCTGCAAGGAGCAGATTGAGTTTCTCGTGCAGGCTACGGACATGATCAAGCGCAAGGCACGGGAGTCGACGAAGAGCACGACCGCGAAGTTCGCGGAGCTCGCCGATGAGGACGGCCGCCTCCGCGAGCAGCTGGCCGCACTCGAGCGCGGGCTGAAGAAGCAGGAGCGGGACTTGCGCGCAGCCGGTTGCCAGGGGGGGCGCCAACCGAGTGCATGCCCGCACCAGCCCTCGCCACCCAAAGCTCGGGCCCAGGATCAGTGCACATGGGCGCTCACCGACGTTCTGGCCTGGCCGCCCTCCGTCACCTTCGGGACGGCAGGCTCGGCGTGCTGGGGGGGAGCGCGCCGACGTCGGCGGCCAGGTCTGGGCCCTTGGGATAACCCCGGGGCCCCTGCGTCGCCCGCGGGAGCGCGGAGATCATCGCGCTTTTCGCGCGTCGCGGTGTGGAGCGGAGTGCGGTGGCCCTTCTCCAAGCTGGCGGCGCGAGGGCGTGAAGACAATCGCGCATCGCGGGGCGCGATGTTCCGAGATAGGTGACCTATACCCATCAGACACCTTCAGAAAACGGGGCAACTTTCATAGGCTTCAGGTTTCGCTCAAGAGAATCAAGAGTCTGGAATGGGCCCTGGGCGTTTTCTTGGAGTTGATTATCGTAGAACTGTCGTATCTCTGGACCTGGACTGCTGTTTAAGAAAACGATTGGAGCGAAGGCCACTTTCTTAGCGTAAAATTCTCCTGACTCTAGGCAGGGGTGCAGGAACCCTGGTGTTCCCCACCTTCGTCGTTGCGAGCGCCGCACGTGCACGAAGATGGCACCCCCGCGCGCACGTTGCCTCCCTGGCCAGAGCGGGAGGGCCCGGCCACCAGTCCTGGCCCCTGCCAGGGGCTGTCCTGGCCAGGGGTCGGTGCAGGTTAGCAGTTCTCCAGTCAAGATGCCGACATAAGTCAGGAGGGGAAAAAACACAGACACTATGAATCGTCAATTCCAAGAAGAGTTGGGAAAATATATGGGAAGTGGGGGGAAGACGAAGACCCAGACAACATGGGGAAGCCTGGGATGTGTGTCTATCTATCTGTGTGTGTCTCTGGGCTTCCTTGAATAACGACCACGTTGGGCTCAGGAGGGGCCGCTCCTTCGATCTAGGTCGGGCCGCTCCTTCGATCTAGGTCGGCGCGTCATCGTCGTCATCCCCCTCTGCCTCCTCTCCTGCGCCCTTCTCCTCCCTCCTCTCTTCTCTCTGCCCCTGCGTCTCCCGCTGCCCCCTCTCCTTCCCCCTCCCCCCCATCATTTTTCCTTATGGGGGAGAAGGAGTAGGATGATGATGATGATGATGATGATGATGATGATGATGATGATGATGATGATGATGATGATGAGGAGGAGGAGGAGGAGGAGGAGGAGGAGGAGGAGGAGGCGGAGGCGGAGGCGGAGGCGGAGGAGGCGGTGGAATGGGAGGGCCGCTCCTTCGATCTAGGTCGGGGAGCCTGCTCGTGGACGAGGGTCGCCCGGGGCGAGGACAGCCCCCCTTGCGCTCCTGCATTCTGGCGCCCCTTCACGGCAGCACGCTGGCTGCAGGTCCCCCGCGGGTGGAGGGTTTCTCCGAAGGGCTTAGGCGACCCGTCCTCCTCCTCCTCCTCCTCCTCCTCCTCCTCCTCCTCCTCCTCCTCCTCCTCCTCCTCCTCCTCCTCGCTGGCCGCGGGTCTGGCGCCCCCGCCAGCACTCAGGAGGCTGCCCTGAGCGGTGGTCCACTCAGTCTGCCACCTGTACCCCACAGCCGGTCGCCCTTCGGAGACCGGGCTCCGGCAATGCAGATTAATTAGACCGGCACACGACAGGGCAGGCCAGGGGCAGCATGCAAAGGCGGCCAGGCGGGGGGGAGGGAAGAGTCGAGGGAGGGGAGGGAAGAGGCGGGGGGCGGGGGGCGGATGTCGGAGCGTCATGGACGTCGTGGTGGTACCGACCATCGGAGGTGGATGTCGTGGTGGTTGCCGCTGCTGTAGTGGTCCTGGTGGTTGCCGTGGTTGTGGTGGTCGACGTGGTGGTCCTGGTGGTGGAAGTGGTGGCCGTGCCAGGGGTGGTCGCGCCGCTGGCGGTCGCGCTGGCGGTGGTCCTGGTCCTGGTGGCCGCCGCTGTGGGCGGCACTAGCGCCGCCAGTCACGGAGTGGCCGGCGGCGGTCGCCTCCCGCCAGCCACGGGGCTACTGCACTGGTGGGAACCGCCGATGGAGTCGAGCTGGCGGCGCCCTGCGGCCACCTCTCCGGCGACGCCCGGGCCTGCGCGGTGGGCGCCTAGCACGCGCTAAGGATCATCTCCGCGTTGCCCACGACCAGCGTACGCTGGATGCGGCGCCACGCGGTTGCGATGACAGCTGGCCGGTCCGCCTCGGCCACGTCTGCGCCGTAGGAGCGGACGAGCAAGACCCAAGACGGCCAGGACCAGCTCGCCACCCGAAGGGGGGGTAACGGTTCCGCTTGACGCCCACAGCATACGACGCGGCCAGCCCGTCGGTGTTGGATCGTGCCCTCCTGCGCTCGAGGTTGTCAGAGTGTGCGCAGGTGACAGACCAGTCAATGTAAATAGGCTGTCCGGTGGCCGCGTCGCGGGTCGCCACGTCCAGGCGGGCTTCTTCCAGCTCCCCGGGGCCGGGGTCCGCCCGGTCCCAAGCGGGGACGGGTTTTTCGGTGACCGCCATGTGGCCAGTCTGCGCCTGGTGGAAAAGCGCACTCCAATCGCGGAGGCTTTTGTGTCGGTGGTCGCGAGAGCCTCCGCAGCCGCACTTCAAGGGGTGCCAGCCCTTGGCGTCCAGGGGAGCACCACAGACTGAGCCGTCTCGCTTGCGGTGCTGGCAGGGCGCCCCTGGTGTGCAGACGTCAGCCCGCAGGCGCTTGCGCAGCCCCACGCAAAAGTGAGCGTCCGGGATGGGCGGGTCCCCCTCCTGGCGCGAGAGAAGCCAGCTTCCCGCCGAAGTGCCGCTACTCTCGCGCAGAACAAGCTGGTCGATTCTTTCTTCTAAATAGAAAATAGACTCCACCCCCCCGGACTTATCGGTTCCCCCTGGGATTACATGAGTTCATATATCTATATGTATATATATATATATATATATATAACACTCGTCCATCCTCAATATGAAATCATACCATCCCAGCTAGGCCGGTTTCCCCCTGAGGCTCCCTTGTAAAAAACACTATGCGGTGACACGTTTTGTTCTAACATAACATTTTTTTCGCGAATCCCTTGCAAAAAAAAAAACAGGACGAAGTGCATACGCGCGCGTCGTCGCGCGCGCATGCCGAAGTCCTTCAAAAACCTTCGGTGCGGGAAGGACTTCGCACTCTAATTTCCCCCCCCCCCCAAAAAAAAACATACAAAAACACAGGGTTTCGCAGCACAGAGTTGCTAAAAAAGCGTCCAGGCGAGCTCTTGCGAAATCTTAAGAAAACCATAGGTTTTTCCAGATTTTCGCAAAATGCTACCAAACGGGCATCGCGCGCGCTCATGTCGAAATCTGTCGAACGCCCTTGCGCGCGTGCCGTCGCGAGAATCCCCTGCAAAAAACAAAAAAGTAAGTGCAGACGCGCGCGTCGTCGCGCGCGTATGCCGAAAACCTTCAAAACCCATCGGTTTCGGAAGGATTCCAAAATCGTGTGTCCAAAAAACCTACAGAAACCCAAGGTTTCGCAACACGGATTTTCAACAAAAGCGTGCGCGCGCGCTCTTGCGTCGTCGTCGTCGTCGCCGTCCTCCCTCCTCCCGCGTCGTTGTCGTCGTCGCCAACGCCTACGTCGTCCTCTGTCTTTCCTCGTGTTCGTCGTCGTCGTCGTCCTCTTTTGGCGTCGTGGTCGTTTCCGTCGTCGTTGTCGCCGTGGTCGTCCTTCCTCCTCCTCCCTCGTCGTCGTCGTCGTCCGTCGTCGGCGTCTCGTCGTCGTCCCTCCTATTTCGTCGCCGTCGTCGTCGTCGTCGTCGTCGTCGTTGTCGTCGTCGTCGTCTTCCCTCCTCCCTCGTCGTTGTCGTCGTCGGCGTCGCCGTCCTTCCTCCTTCTTCGTCGTTCGCGTCGTCGCCGTCCTCCCTCCTCCCTCGTCGTTGTCGTCGTTGTCGCCGTCGTCGTCCTCCCTCCTTCCTCGTTGTCTTCGTTGGCGACGTCGTCGTCGTCTTCGTCGTCAGCGTCGGCGTCGTTGTCGTCTTCGTCGTCGTCGACGTCGGCGTCGTCGTCGTCGCCGCCGTCGTCGTCGTCGGCGTCGTCGTCGTCGGCGTCGTTGACGTCGTCGTTGTCGTCGGTGTCGTCGTTATCGTCGTCGTCGGCGTCGTCATCGTCGTCGTTGTTGTCATCGTCGTCGGCGTCGGCGTCGGTGTCGTCGTCGTCGTCGTCGGTGTCGTCGTCGTCGTCGTCGTCGTTGTCGGCGTCGTCGAAGTCGTTGGAGACGTCGTCGGTGTCGTCGTAGTCGTTGTCGGCGGCGTCGTCATCGTCGTTGTCGCTGTCGTCGTCGGCGTCGCTGTTGTTGCCAAGTGCCATGTGGTACCCACCGTCACGGTCTTAAGAGATTTTGCAAACCAAGTTGTGGGTGGGTGGGTGGGATGTTTGCGCGAGCAGTGGAGTGGACAACCCACTGCGAACAGAAATTAATTGTCCTTTCTAACAAGAGAATATACTCTACCCCCCCCCCCCCGGACTTATCGGTTCCCCCTGGGATAGTACGATTTCATATATATATGTATATATATATAGATATACATATATATATATATATATATATATATATCTGCACACTCGTCCATCCTAAATATGAAATCATACCATCCCAGGCAGGCCGGGTTCCCCCCCCTGAGGTTCCTTTGTAAAAAACACTATGCGGTGACATTTTTTGTTCTACCGTAACACTTTTTCACGAATCCCTTGCAACAAATGGGACGAAGTGCACGCACGCGCGTTGTCGCGCGCGCATGCCGAAATCCCACAAAAATCTTCGGTGCCGGAGGGATTTCGCAATCGAGTTTCAAAAAAAAACATGCAAAAAGACATGGCTTCGCAACACTGATTTGCTAAAAAAGCTTCCGCGCGAGCTCCTGCGAAATCTTAAGAAACCATAGGTTTTTCAAGATTTTCGCAAAATGCTACCAAACGGGCTTCGCGCGCGCGCATGTCGAAATCTGTCGAACGCCCTTGCGCGTGTGCCGTCGCGAGAATCCTTTGCAAAAACGGGACGAAGTGCAGACGCGCGCGTCGTCGCGGGCGTATGCCGAAAACCTTCAAAACCCATCGGTTTCGGAAGGATTTCAAAATCGTGCGTCCAAAAAACTTACAAAAAAAAACCCAAGGTTTCGCTAGAGATTCGACAAAAGCGTGCGCGCGCGCTCTTGCGTCGTCGTCGTCGTCGTCGTCGCCGTCCTCCCTCCTCCCGCGTCGTCGTCGTCGTCGCCTACGTCGTCCTCTGTCTTTTCTCGTGTTCGTCGTCGTCGTCCTCTTTGGCGTCGTGGTCGTTTCCCGTCGTCGTTGTCGCCGTGGTCGTCCTTCCTCCTCCTCCCCCTCGTCGTCGTCCGTCGTCGGCGTCTCGTCGTCGTCCCTTCTATTTCGTCGCCGTCGTCGTCGTCGTCGTCGTCTTCCCTCCTCCCTCGTCGTTGTCGTTGTCGGCGTCGCCGTCCTTCCTCCTTCGTCGTCGTTCGCGTCGTCGCCGTCCTCCCTCCTCCCTCGTCGTTGTCGTCGTTGTCGCCGTCGTCGTCCTTCCTCCTCCCTCGTCGTCGCCTTCATTGGCGTCGTCGTCGTCTTCGTCGTCGTCGGCGTCGGCGTCGTTGTCGTCGTCGAAGTCGTCGGAGACATCGTCGGTGTCGATCTAGTCGTTGTCGTCGGTGTCGTCGTAGTCGGTCTTAACAGGTTTTGCAAACCAAGTTGCGGGTGGGTGGGTGGGATGTTTGCGCGAGCAGTGAAGATGACGACTTTAAGTTCAGCAGAGTGGTCTTCACCCATAGTCTGTAGCAGCCGCCACCGCTTGTGCGCTGAGATGCACTTGCCCCACTGACCCTGGAGCTTGGCTCGTGGCTCCACAAAGTAGCTCCCCCACTCAATCGGCGCCTCCTTCGCCCCCTGGGCGTCCAGCTCGGCTTCGGCGCTCCTCACATCCTGGGCGATACGGGGGCACTTGGATCGGGAGCCCTCCAGGGAAGTGACCCCGAGGCAACTGGCGACGCTGGGGAGGACGAGGGCCCAGCTGTCCAAGTAGGCGCGTGCGGCCGCGCCTCGAGCAGACGGAAGGGCGCATCCTCCGTCGGGTAGGCCCAGCGCGGCTTGCTCGCGCTGCGAGGCGTCGAGGGCGAAGCCGGCGAGCTCTTCGTAGGCGCCCCAGGTCATCGAGCAGCGCCGCCCAGATGGTCTCGAAGTCAGCTTGCAGCAAATGGGTAGCGCAGCCCAACGCACACGTACGCAAAAGTGTACGGGCCCCGATCAGCCGTCAACCCGTTGCCCCGCAGCTGCCGCAAGTGTCGTAGGAAGCAACGTGTCTTGTCGAGACCTTCCCGTCCGTCGGTCGTGCCGTGGACTGGGAGCCGCCCGTCGTCGTCTTCGTCGCGGTCGTACCATGGCACCGGGTTCCCCAGCACCGTGAGGGCTTGGACCCGGCGAGCCTCCAGTTGTTGCGGCAACGCCGTGCCTTGGGTTGGCGTCCACACCTGGGTCTTGTCGGGGTTCAACGTACGCCCGGCCGTCGTCAGCTCCTCCTGCACGATCTCGCACGCTCGAGCCGCCAGACCCGCCGGCACCACCGTCACCACGTCATCCAAGTAGGAGAAGATGCGGGCAGAGGGGTGGAGGTGCGCCAGTCGCGCGTCAGCCCGGGACAAGGCGTCGGCGATGCCGATAGCGAAGAACCCCGGTGAAAGCGGGCAGCCTTGGTCAACCCCTGCCTGCGCCCGCACCGGCAGCGCGACGCCGTCGCGGGTCCAGTAGGTGTGCGTGGTTCCACGAGTAAGCCGAGCGTTGGCTACACCGAGGAGGGCAGGGGCACGTCTGGCCACGGCGTCGAGGACGTTCTGGCCTGGGATCGTGTTGAACGTTTTGGAGGCGTCAAAAGAGATAACAGCGGCCGAGGGCAGGGCCTCTGCCAGCGCAGACACGCTCTTGTGGACGAGTTCGCAACCCGCCTGTCTGCTCACGGCGTATTGTCGCGAGCCGCACGCCGCCTCGATCACCTCCTGGAATACGGCGCACGCCGCCTTGGCGGCGAGACGGCGCACGACGCTCCGGCACGCCACAGGAAGGATCCAACCGCTCTTCTTCCGGAGAGCGCGTAGGCGAGCACCCAAGTTGGCAGTGGTGTAGCTGTCAGGGAGGCCCCCAAGGAGGAGGAGGACAGTGACGCGGGCGTTGGCCTCCAGCGCCGCAGCATCGTCCAGGAGGGCCTGCCGGTGCTCGAACCGAGAGCCATTGGGCCCTGGGCCCGACCGTTTGGGAGCCTTGCGAATGGCCACCGTCACCTCGCGGATGAGTTTCTTGACCGTCTCCTCGTCGACCTCCTGCGGGGGCCCCGCCGTGGCCGGAGCGCCCTCTGGGAAAAGAGCCTGCAGTTCGGCTTGCGCGCTGGCCTCGGTCACCAGCGGGGCGGACCGGGGGACCAAGCCGAGGCCCTTGGAGACCAACCCGTCCGCCAGCAAAGCCTCGACGGCCCGCGCCGTGTCCTTGGGGGTGCTCTGGCGCGCGCGGCGCGCTGGTGCGGCGTCTGCTGCAGCATGGGCCTCCCGCCAAAGAGCACCCAAATCTCCTCTCCAAGCTGATCGGATCCGTCGGGTGAGGACCCGAGTGAGCCCGCCTTGGTTCTTCGCGCCCCGCCCGCCTCGCACTCGGTTGGGATGGAAGAGCAAGATGCGATCGAGGAAAGTGTAAAGTTTTCTGGCTCTCTCGGCCGCCTCAGCGTCCGCGGATTCCACAGCGCTCAGAAAGGCCGTCGCGACTGCCCCGCGTAAGAGGGCCAGCGAATGTGTTAAGGGCCCTGGTACACGCCCTATCGTGCGGACGTCGATTGCCAAGTTGTCGTACGTAACGCCGTCCTCCTCCTCCTCCTCCTCCTTCTCCTCCTCCTCCTCCTCCTCCTCCTCCTCCTCCTCCTCCTCCTCCTCCTCCTGCTCCTGCTCCTCCTCCTCCTCCTCCTCCTCCTCCTCCTCCTCCTCCTCCTCCTCCTCCTCCTCCTCCTCCTCCTCCTCCTCCTGCTCCTCCTCCTCCTCCTGATCCCCTCCTCCTCCTCCATCTCCCCCTCCCTCCCCCCCGCATCGCCTACAGCCCCGGGGGGAAACCGTGCACCCGCGGGGGCGCGAAGATGCGCCCCGCGCTTCGTGCCCCGCGGTCTGGGCAAGAGCGGCCGCCCTTGTCCATCGGGGGGAGAGCGGCGCGGCGGCGCGGGGGCGCGACGAGAGGATTGCGCACCGCGGGGCGCGGGGGGTGCGCGAAGTCGGGCGACGCAGCCAGTTTCGAGGAGCAGCACACGGCACAAGCGTGAATTTGCGGAGGCCTGCGCGGATGTCTTGGATCGGCGCTGGATACATACCCTGGCGGCGCGCTCCGCGCGCCAGGGGAGGAAGGTCCAGCGCAGACCCCAGAAATCTGCGCCGACTTCCGAGAGGTTGTGATCATGCCGTTTGCTCTTCCTCAGCTCTCGGCATTCGAGCGAACCTCATCCACGGCCCCGCACCGAGCTGGGCGGAGCCGCCGCCACCCGAGGCACGCGCCACGCGCACGCCCCAGGCAGCTGCGGAGATCGGGGAGCTTGCTGGCATCCTCCCAGGCCGTGCCCTGCCTGCCCCCGAGCCGCCCCCGGACCCCAACGAGCGGCTCGTGGGGGTCCTGCAGCAGCTGGAAGCCATTGCGGGCGGCGGCAACCCACAGGGGTCGAAGAACGACCTCACGGTGTATCCGAGGCTCCCTCGTCCTTCTCTTCCTTCGGGGGCGGCTTCGAGGGGGGGCAATGACTAGGGGAGGGGTAGATAGTCTCGTGGCCGGGGCCACGACATCTCCCCGGACTTCATGGCCACCTTCCCTTCTTCCAGTATGTTCATCGGTCTCCCGCTCGTCCCCACACATTCCTCGGGCCATGATTTGCGCCCACCCCTCTGAACGCCTCCCTCTTGGTCGTCCCCGACCCCTAATCCTGCAGGGGTGCCCGCTGTTCGGTCGGTGCGGCTGCGTTGCGGTCGGTCGGTTCGGTCCAGTTGGCTTCTGCCTCGTTGTTGCGTCGCCGTGCCCTTCCAGGCTGCCTGCGGCCTGTCGGATGCGGTCGGCTTCGGTTTCGCTGTCAGTTCATTCGGTTTTCGCTTGTGCTGTCGCTGTGGACGGCCTTGTCCTGTGTCGCAGCCGCGCGAGCGTGGTGCGAGACGCGCGAAGTTGGGTGGCCTGATTAGTTGCTCCTCCTGCTGCTGCTACTGAGCACTCGCCTCTTGGATCGCTCCGTGGTGTCTCGGCCATTTTGGGCCGACGCTACTGCTGCTACTGATTGCTACACGCAGGAAGTCCCGACAGGGGCTCAAGCGCAAATCGCCTCCGCCTCCAGTCCCAGGCCTCCAGGCCACACGAGGCCTTCCCTTCCTTACCCCGCTCGCGCATCCGAGAGCCACTCCGCTGATATCAGTCACTCCCGACACTTGACCCGCACCAGTTCTTTAGGTCACCCTCAGCGGCGCAAAGATAGTCGCGCTTCGAGCGTGGCGGTCTGGGCTGGAGAGCTACCCTTCTCCATGGTGGCCCCGCCAGGGCTCGAGAATAACCGCGCGTCGCGCATCCATGGGGTGCTATGCGCGTCGAGTGGCGCATCGTGACCTAGGATTCGAAAGAGAAAGAGCGTGTTCTACCGCTGCTGGCGGAAAACCGGGTGGGGTCATTACCGGTTCGGACCCCTCCCCCCCCCTCTTGAAAACCGGGGGGGGTCACTACCGGTTCGAACCCCTCCCCCCCCCCCCAGTCCATCCTCGAAAACCGGGGGGGGTCACTACCGGTTCGAACCCCTTCCCCCCCCATCGAAAACCGAGGGGGTGCGGACAGTGGTGGGGACGGTGGTGGTGGGGACAGTGGTGAGGGGACAGCGGGACAGTGGTGGGCTCAGTGGGACAGTGGTGGGGGCGGTAGTGGTGGGGACAGTGGTGAGGACAATGGTGGGAACAGTGGGGCCAGTGGGACAGTGGTGGGGACGGTGGTGGTGGGGACAGTGGTGTGGGGACAGTGGGAATGTAGTGGAAACAGTGGGACAGTGGAGGGTACAGTGGCGGTGGGGACAGTGGTGAAGGCGGTGGCGAGGACGGCGGTGGGACAATGGGATAGAGGTACAGTGGGGACAGTGGTGGTGACAGTGGGGACAGTGGTGGGAACAGTGGGACAGCTCAGTGGGACAGCGGAGGAGTCAGTGGGACAGTGGGGATAGTCGGGCAGTGGTTGGGGCCGTGGAGAAAGTGGGGAGAATGGAACCGTGGTGGGAACAGTGGTGGGGACAGTGGGGACAGTGCGACAGTGGTGGGGGCACTGGTGGGGACAGTAGGGACGGTGGTGGAACCAGTGGGGACAGTGGTGGTGAGGACAGTGGTGCTGAGAGCAACAGTGGGGGATGTGGTGCGGACGGTGGAAGGGACCGGGAGTCGTTTGCTGGCGGTGAGTTCGGGAGCCTCGAGACGGGGGTCAATGCAAACGGGGGTCAGCCAGGGCGCCAGATCCTGCAGGATCCTGCGAAGACCCCCTCTGACTGACCCGGGTCAGCGAGCCGCTCGTGGCCGCGAGGCGGCCGCGCCTATTGGCTGACCCGGGTTTGCGAAGACCTGCGTTGCAGTTTTTTTCTCCTGCATTGCAGTTTTTGGTTTCCTGCTGACCCGGGTCTGGATTGACCCGGGTCAGAAGATCCCCGATGAGTGGAGGGTGGGGAAGGGTTCGAACCGGTAGCGACCCCCCCTCCGGTTTTCGAGGGTGGGGTTCGAACCGGTAGTGACCCCCCCCCGGTTTTCGAGGGGGAGGGGGGGGGGGAGGGGTTAGGGGAGGGGGAGGGTTTTGCCGGGGGAGGGGAGGCGGGGGGGGGGAGGGGGATTCCAGCAGGAGGGGAGGGATTTTCGGAGGGGGGGGCGGCCCGGGGTCCCGAGGAAAAGGGGGGCAATTTTCCACAGCAAAAGCGGCGGTGGATCACGCTCTCTCGAAGAAGAAAAACCACGTAAACATAAACTGTTGGCGCTCCGCGCGGGGTTCTCCCCCCTGGCGGCGCCTCCAGCGCCACCCCTGGCGCGCTCCGCGCGCCAGGGAGGAGGGTCGGGCGCAGATCCAAGAAATCCGCGCGGAGCGCCAAAAGGTTATGTTTATGTGGTTTCTTGTTTTTTTTCTTCTTCTTATTCTTCTTATTATTCTTCTTCTTCTTCTTATTATTCTTCTTCTTCTTCTTCTTCTTCTTCTTCTTCTTCTTCTTCTTCTTCTTCTTCTTCTTCTTCTTCTAAGGATGTATGTCACTGCTGACACTTGGCTCGCATCGGTTCTGGCCTTCGGGCCATCCACTCGTGTCTCCGGCGGCCGTTCGGGACGATCTGGACCGCCCCGCACGCCTTCCGGCGAGGCGCAAGGTGCCCCACGGCGCGCCGCCGATGCTCGCCCTGCTCGGAGGATCGGACGTGGTGGCCAGCGCGGTGGTGGCTACCGCTGTCTGCCCGCGCTGGTCTAACCAAGCGCCTTGTAACTCAAGATGCCGTGGTCCCAGGGGGTCAGCCCACGGGATTCGCCACCAAGCACACAGGCACCATCTCCGACATTCGAACCTGCCTTGCCCCGCGCCGAGGCAGCGGGATCAGGCCGCGCTGATGGGCGGCTCTAAGACGGAGCGGCCGCCGCTGCCTGTGCCCACGGGGCAGACGACCCCGCGCGGGAGCGACGGGGATTTCGCCCTGGCGAGGCTCGCGGCCATCACGGGGCAGACGCAGATCGACTCCAGAAGGATCGAGGCAGATAAATCTGCAGGGAGGATGGACAAAGTTATTTGATCGCTTCGCTCGCTCCGCCAGCCCATGTTGCGTCACTGGTCCTCTATGTCCATGCTGGTGTGCTCGTGGCGAGCGAGGAGTAGGAGGAAGAGCGAAGGATGAGGATGAGGCCTCTCGATGGCTTCTTGGGGAATGTTTGGGGCCAAACTGGGTCGTGGACAAAGAAGGCCCTTTAGGAGGCTGGCAACAGTTATCTCAGAGAACGGCGAGTTGAGACAACGACATTTGGCCTTCGGGGGGGGGGGGCCCTCGTCCCTTCGGCTGGGCGCAGATCAGAAAAACTGGTGCGTTTGGGCTCGGGGAGGGTTCTGGGGATCGATTTGGGGCTGCGCTGTCTCAACTCGTCCTGCTCCGACTGTTGGGGCCAGCCCGTCCACTCTTTGCAGCCCTGGCCAGTCTCCTCAGGTATAGAGCTTCCAGCCCTGACGACGGCATCCCGACGGTTTCTGGCTGCGGATGCGGCCCCTCCCAGTGTTTCCAGCCCCGGCCGCTTCCACGTTCATGGAACTTCCAGCTGCCACTCTTCCGGCTTCTCTGCACACGAACATAAACTTAGCATCGCTCGGACGTGTGTGTTTTTCCGGGAAAAGACAATCGAAGACCATTTTGGGCCACATGGCGAAAAAAGCACGCACGGGATCGAAGAAAATGCACGGGGAATGGACGTCCGAGCGATGGCAAGTAAACGGTGGGAGGTCCGCGCGGATTTCTTGGATCGGCGTTGGATTTCCGAAAGTTCATGTTGATGTCTATTGGTCGTCCTCCAGAGGAGCTATTCCTCCGTGGAGTCGCCGCGGCGCAGCGTGGCTGCCGGAGGGGGCACGGCCAGAATGACCCGGTAGGTTTGTGTGGACTGGAACGGATCCCCCCGCTTCTCGTCTTCCTTCCCCTCCTGACCCTGCTTTTGCTCATCGTCCTTCCTCGTGCTCATCCCCTCCATCGTCTCCGGATCTCCCCATCGCGGCAATGGCAATCGCTGTCAAGGGGGGGGAAGGAAAAAAAAAAAAAAAAAAAAAAAAAAAAAAAAAAAAAAAAAAAAAAAAAAAAAAAAAAAAAAAAAAAAAAAAAAAAAAAAAAAAAAAAAAACGACCGAAAAAAAAAAAAAAAAAAAAAAAAAAAAAAAAAAAAAAAAAAAAAAAAAAAAAAGGAACTGGACGTCCGGGCGTTTATTACACGGCCTTGGGCGTTTACTAAACAGCCCTGCCCTGTTCGATTCCTTCTTTGGGCGCGTTTACTAAACGAATTCGCGTGTCGGGGTGGTTATGGGGATGGATTTTTGACCCCTATCGTGCTCCTTTCCATCCCATGGCGGCATTCGTTGGGGCGCGAGCCATGGGAGGGTATCAAATTATGCACCAACACCGATCCTGGCGGGGCCGATCTGGGGCCCGGGATCGTTGTGTATGCCTCCTTGGCCAAGTCAGTATTAAGTCGAGCCTGTCCCTCTACAGAAGAAAGATTAGAAAATATTCCAAAATAGTATGGGGCCGACTTTTCTGACTATCTATAATATGTTTGGGTTATTTTGGGGGGTATTTTTTATTTTTCGTCCAGAATCCGCATGTAGGGGGGCATACCCGACCTAAAGTCAGGAGGGCGTATCCCCACCGATCCCAGGCCCAGGATGGGCCCGGCAAGCATCGGTGTAGGTGTATAGTTGGCACCCTTCCGAGCCATTTGGCGCTGGCTGGCTGCGGCTTTGCCGCGCACCTTCTCGCGTGAGCGCACCGTCTCGCTCGTTCGCGCGCTGCCTTCGGGCCCGGCGCGGCGGCTGCTGTGCAGCAGCGTTGTTATGTGGCAGTGGTGGCGGCACTGGCGAAGGGCAAGCATCAGGCGATGGCGGCTTCGGCGGCGCACGGCGCGGCCGTGACAGGCGATTCCTGGAAGCGTTGTGTCGGGCATGTCCCTTTACAGGAAGAATATCCGAGAATGGTAAAAACATAGTCTGGGGACGACGTTTCGTGCTCATTTGATTATGGTTGAGTATTTTCATATATTTTCAATGTGTCATCCAAGATCCGCCTGTAAGTGAACATGCCCGACCTATTGGAAGCGGGAAAAACCTTTGAGCAAGGGCGCCCACGTTTCGGTGGGACCGGCTGCGCCGCAGCCGGTGGCGTTCGGTCTTTTGTTCGGGTCGGTCGCTCGTCGTGTCGTGGCTGCGTCGCTGAGCCTTGCTGGTTTCGGTCGGTTTCGGCTTGTCGGCTCGGTCGGTGTTCGGTCGTGCTGTCGCCGTGGACGCTTACGGGTGAGGACCTGGTGGCTCCGCCCCAAGCACGCGCGAGGCCTCCGTCGAGGCCATCCAGGAGCCGAGGTGCCGGTCTGCCGCGCCCTCGACCTCCCAGGCCGAGGCTGTGGCTCACGATGTCAGCGCACCCTGTCGGGAGCCAGAGAAGGACGCACACGTACATGAACCCGCGGAGGTTTCGACTGCGCGCTGCGCGAACGCCCGAAACACGCGGCTGGCCTCGCGGACTGGGGGGCCGAATTCATGCGCGTGGCCGCGCCCATGCCGACGCCCAGACCCACGCCCAAGCCCACGCCCGCGCCCGCGCCCCCGCCCGCGCCTGCGCCCGCGCCTGCGCCCATGCCCCCACGGCCACGCCGACGGCTCTCTGCCTTCGCTGGCGACCAGGTCGCGCAGGCCCTGATCTCCGCAATTGCCCGGGAGGGCATTTCCTGGGCGTGGCTTCCACGCGAAAAACCTGCACATAAACTTAAGTCGGGCCTGTAGATGAGGAGCACTCAGAAATAGTCAAGAAAGTAGTCTGGGGACGATTTGTTTGACTATTTTCCGTATTTTTGAGCATTTGTGGGTATGTAATATTTTTCGTCCAAAGTCCGCATGTAGGGGGACACGCCCGACCTAAACATAAATTGCTGTCGCTCCGCGCGGATTTCTTGGATCTGCGCTGGGACACCCTTGCGCCGGGGGCTGCGCCGGAGGCGCCCCCAGGAGGGTCCTAGCGCAGATCCAAGAAGTCCGAGCGGAGCGCCAGAAGTTTATGTTTATGCCGTTTTTCTTCCTCTACGACAAGGGCTTCTCAGAAGGCGGCTGTGCTTCCCAAAAGGCTGCGGGACTTCCGAGCCTTCTGAGGAGGCCTTCTCCTTTTGATTTCCCCCCCGAGCTCACCGCCGAGCGTATGGATATCGCTCGAATGCCGAGAACCCCAATCAACCAAAGTAAGAAAACAACAGTGGGGGAAACGTAAAATTCGGGTACGCGAGAATTCGGATTTGCTCGCGCCTTTTGACGAGCGCGTCCTGGATTTTTGACGGTTCAGTTCTCGTATTGTATTTACAGCGGGGGCTCGCGTCAAGTTTCAGACTGGGCCTCGTCATTCTCATGTTGGCCCCGTCAGGCCAACCCGAGTCCCCCGAATTTGGGTTTTAAATCAACAGACTGCAGCAACGGCATGAACATCAAGTTTCGGAGGTCCACGCTGAAATCTTGCCTGGCGGCGCACCTCTGGCGCCGCCCCTGGCACGCTCTGCGCGCCGGGGGAGGGGCGTCCAACGCCGATCCGTGAAATCTGCGCGGATATCCGCAAGTCTTTTCTTCATGCGAAGTCCGAAAATTTGTTTATGCAGAGCTTCCCTCCTCCGGGGCCGCCCTGTCCGTTTTTTCCCCGACTCCCCCGCCCCTCCGTCGTCATCGTTACCATCATCATCATCATCATCATCATCATCATCAGCAGCAGCAGCAGCAGCATCATCTTCGTCGTCATCATGGCCATCACCACCACAAGTATCATCATCCTCAAAATTGTCATCATCATCATCATCCGCCCACTCATCATCATCATCATCATCATCATCATCATCATCATCATCATCATCATCATCATCATCATCATCGTCATCATCATCATCATCATCCTCGTCATCGTCGTCATCGTCGTCATCATCACTACCTGTATAATAGCCGCTTTGGCTCTGGCATTTACTGGCGCGGTGGCTGCTACCCTGCACTTGCTGGACGCTCGCACTGCCATGCCCTGCCTGGCGCGCGTTGACTGGATTCGGAGGCAGCTTGGGTCTGGAAGGGCTGTGCACATCGCCCTCTTCCTTGCGGCGAACGCCTCGAAGGCCAAGATGAAGGTCGTGGTGGCGCATGCCGCTGCGGGAGCTCCTCCGCCTGCCGCCCTTCTGGCTGCGCTGGGTCCTCCCCTTGACCGCCTTCGGCAGCTTCTTGAAGGTTCGGTCACCACTGATCGTGGGCACCGACACTCCGAGAGGCGTTCCGTCGTGCAGTTTTGGGTCCAATGTGCGGATCGCGACCGTCCTCGATTCGATGGCGCCGGCGGAGGTTTTGGTGATAATGATGTGGATAGTCCTAATGAAGGGCACGATCGCTCGCATCGTCTTGGACGTCGTGGTCGTAACGTTGCCTCGCAGGACCCCTGGCATGGCCCTGACGGGTGCGATCCATGGGCAGCTGTGCCCGGTGGTGGCGGTGTCGGCCTATAGCCCAAAGTACCACGCGATATGGGCCTGCCGTTCATGCTCCGCGTGTTGCTGGGGATGAGCGTTCTCTCGATGCTGGTTGTCAGGAACACGGTCCTGGTCTCTTGTCCTGGGCTGTTGGCATTCCTGCTGCCCGCGCTTCAGGATCGTCTTCAACGTCGCGTTTATGATGTTCACACTGGCGGCGCGGGAGATGCATCGGGGTCGTTTCCAGTGCGCCTGTCTTCCCGACGCTGGAGGCGACCGCAGGCGCAGAATGGTCCTCCTGCTGTCCCAGCCGCCGCGCCGGACTCACCGGACTCACCGGACACGCCGGCCACCGGACGCACTGGACACACCGGACATACCGGACACACCGGACACACCGGACACACCAGACACACCGGACACACCGGACATACCGGACACTTCGGACACACCGGACACACTGGACACACCGGACACACCGGACCCATCGGACTCGCCGGACTCACCGGACTCGCAGGACCCACCAGACTTCCGGACTCACCGGATTCCCGGATCACCAAACGATTTTGATCGTAATGGTGGTGGTGTTGATATTGAGATAAGGGTTTTGACGATGTTGATGATGATGTTGATGATGATGATGATGATGATGATGAGTACGACGATGACTTGGATGTTGCAGCTGGCGGCGTTCACGATAATTATGTTATGGCGCTTTGCTTTTGAACGTTGGTGATGATCAGGGTGATGCGCTTATTATAGCAATGCGCCCGTTGTTGAAGAAGTGGGGAGGATGCCAACAAAAAATGGTGCTGGTAAGGAGGAAGAGAGGGAAGCAGGTAGAGGATAACATATTCCAAAAACCATCGTAATGATGAGGGAGATGATGCTCATAACGACGACGATGGTAATGATGATGTTGATTGTGCTCGTGGTGGTCATGCCCATGACAATGATGATGACGACGATGATGATGATGATGATGATGAGGCTGAAGAGTGCACTTAGGATGACGAGGATGCGTTGTGAGATCGTGGTGATGATTCCGTCGACGGGGGACATGATGATGGCGATCATTGTAACGATTTGTGTTGTGATGATGATGGTGGTGCTGATGTTGAGATGCCAGATTTGGATCATGATTATGAAGACGAGTACGATGATGACTTAGATGCTGCAGATGGCGGCGTTCACGATAGTGATGTTTCGGGTGAGTTGCTTTCGAGCGCTGATGCTAATAAGGGTGATGGCCCTTATTATGGCAATGTGCTCGTTGTTGAAAACTGACGAGGAGGAAGAAAGCATGAACTGTGTTGGTGAGGGGGAAGGGGGGAAATAAGTATATGATAATTGATGATGAGGCATATGAGAATATCGACGGCGATGGTAATGATGATGATGATTGTGT